TTGCCATGTATGTATGTACCTGTGCAACAATCCTGCATGATCTGCACATGTACCCCAGAACCTAAAGTACAATTTAAAAAAGAATCCAGAGTGCTCTTCAGCATGAATGTGCATTCAAATTAAATGCTATTAATATAATCACTGCCTATAATCAGGACCCACTTTTTGTCAAGCAAACCTAATGTAGGATCTAGACATCAGAGATATTAAAATTTCCTAGGTGATAATGATGAGCTGCGACCCACTCTTTCAGCCTCATATAAATAGTTTTGTATAATCTGGTACTTGTGTCATGGGGCTCAAGAATCTTCATTTTCTTGTACAAACACTAGCTTCTCCTGACCTCAATGAGCTCCTTCATGTCACCCAACCTTCATCACCACCCCCATATATCTCCCCGGGAAACTCCTCTTTCTTCCCCATATTTCTTTCTGGGAAGCTCCTCTCCCGTTTTCGCCAACCTGTCCCTTTTCTCAAGGCTCATCTCCTACTCCCTGTCCTTCACTAGTCTTCCCTTTTGCGTTCCCTCGTAGCCCCTCATGTTACCAGAGCACCATAGTAGCTATGACTTCTCATGCTCAAGGATTATCTAGAGCTCCCATCTGTCTCTGCACTTCTCATGCTATTATAAGTCTGTCTCTCTATATGTATTATAGGTCCTTTGACAATAGAAGACATCTGTCTGATCCAATTTAGTAACTAGTACAGGACTATACACACAGGAGATGTCTGTGACATACAAAATAATGACCCTCCACCCCAGGATGTTCACATCTAACCCCTGGGAACAGTGATTGTGACCTTTTATGATAATTGGTACTTTGCAGCTGTGATTAACTTAAGGACCTTGCAATGCATGTATTTCCTTAGTTATCAAGTGGACTCAAAGAAATCAGAAGGGTCCTCATGAAAGGAAGATAAAACATCAGGGTCACATTAAGAGTCCTAAGGCTGGAAACAGAGGTTGGAGTGACGGGAGGAAGCCACTAGGAGGCAGGGAATAGAGGCTCCCTAGAAGGAGAAAAGGCAAGGAAGCAAATTTTACCCTCAGATACCCAAAAGACACCAGCCCTGTCAAGACCCATATCCCCAAGATATAACTTTACTTCACAAGATCAGTTTCAGACTGCTGAACCTCAGAACTGTAAAAAATTAAATTTCTGTTGTTTGAAACTGCAAACCTTGTACTTATTTGGTAAAGAAGCAATAGAAAAGTAACACCGTGCTCAGTTTGTTGAATTGGTGAATTGATTTTCTGTTTAGTAATTACATAAATGTCTGTAAAATTTGTTATACATTACTGTCACAGAATTATAATTTATAATTATATCTTCAAGCTCAAACCAAGCTTTCAAACATTAATTTGGTTCTCACATAAATCTGGATGTTTCTCAATTTTTGAAGCAGTGTATTATTTCCGTAATGATCTGTAAAATAGGTGGGTGTCCTGACCTAAGTGCTATTGTTGATCTTTATATATACAAGGAAAACACAGAGTCATCATTCATTTGTTGCTCTATTTATCTCTGGTTATCAGCATTTCTAAAAAGTAACAATTAAGCTTAGTGTTGTGGTTAATACTGAGTATCAACTTGCTTGGATTGAAGGATGCAAAGTATTAATCCTGGGTGTGTCTGTGAGGGGGTTGCCAAAGGAGAGTAACATTGGAGTCAGTGGGCTGGGAAAGGCAGACCCACCCTTAATCTGGGTGGGCACCATCTAATCAGCTGCCATAACAACTAGGATATGAAGCAGGCAGAAAAATGTGAAAAGCCTCAATTGGCGTATTTCTCCTGTGCTGGATTCTTCCTGCCCTTGAACATTGAACTCCAAATTATTCTGAGCTTTGGGGCTCAGACTGGCTTCCTTGCTCCTCAGCTTGCAGACAGCCTATTGTGGGGCCTTGTGATTGTGTGAGTTAATACTCCTTAATAGACTCCCCTTTATTTATATATACACATATAATATGTATATAATATACATATTATATAACGTGTGTGTGTGTGTGTGTGTTTTCTATTAGTTCTATCCCTCTAGAGAATCCTAATTTGGCTTCTCCTTGTCTCTTTGTTTTGATCTTCTGTGAAGCCGCTGGCTTGCCTTTTCCTGGAAACTTTTCCTGTGACAGTGCATGTATCACAAGATACAAGATGGTCCTGTCAAACATACATCATGTTAATTAAAATATGTGATATCCAGTAGGAACTCAAACTGCAAAACAGATAATAGAAAAAGATAAACAGCACTTCTAAGTGAAATACAGTTCAGAAATGCTTTGAATGGAGGCATAAATGCCTTACTAACAGTCCAAAAATCATCTATACAATCTAGAAGCATTCTCCTATCTAAAATTCTTAAAGTTATGAATTCTGTGACAATGCAATTTTTATTTACTTTGCGTTTTCCTGAAAAGAATTATCAAGTTCACTAAGGCAAAAATGTTATGAAAGAAATTAAATGAGTCTCAAAGGAGAATCTCAAATCTATAGAAGGAAGTGCCTATAAAATTTATTATATGTCACTTACCAATGTCTTCTAACCCCTGCAGAACTATTCAATCTGCTGTTACACACATACAATTTCCATAGTACTGGAATGGCAATAAATACTGCTGAAAAAATCTGATTTCTCACCAACTCGTTGAGCCCCTTTCATGATTTATGTTCACTCTGGAGCCCACCAAGGAAAGAAGATAATAAAAATCTAGGCCAGAGTAATAGAGTTGCCCTGTCAGATTCCATGCTTGATAGACGCTCCTTCACACTCTTCTTTGCACAAAGAATAGGAGACTTGCCGGGCAAAAATCTAGAATGAGACTTTTCTCCAAGTCTCTCCGTTGTGTCTCCCAAATATTTATAATTAGGGGAGTATTTTTTAGTAAACTTTTTCCAGGATATTTTTGGTTTTGGCTTATGAAATTCTTTGATTATTTGATATACAGTTTTTTAAAAACGAGAATGACACAAACGAGTGTTCCACAGCTTGCTCTGTCCATAACCTGACATTTTAGAGCAACATTTCTGAGAAATCCCTTAGTCCACAGACATTTGCTACATATAACTATTATACTTTAGTTACAATGAGGACAAAACATGCTCTTTAAATACTTTCACAGAGACATGTGTTTCTTTTCATTGGCAAATTCACAATTACTGTGACTTTTTAAATTGTTTAAAATTGCTTTTTTGTTCTTATTCCTCTTCCCTTGGAGCTTATCCAGTCAACTTAATTGTTGCAGACTTTTAACACTGTCACCTTTTTATATCCCTGCAATTAACACAATGAATGTGTGAAATGCTCTCTTCTGTAAAATAACCAGTCACAATCACATACACACACACACACACTGACACACACACAGACACACACAACTTGTAAAGTAAAATCAACCTCTCTTAACCTAAAAGGAAGAAGATAAAATTGCATCAATATTCCCATAAGCTGTGTTTCACAATATCTCTGCACACATATCAAACCCTTAATAGCTAAGTGTTTTACTAGTTTAATTAGTTTTCCTCACTCTATATGAATAGTATTCCTAACAGTGCCTTACATTTTGTATCTCAAATTCAGTAGGAAAGCTTCATATGTAAAACAGAACAGTGCTCTAAGCATTAGAGGTGGAAGATTTAGAAAACTCTCCATTCCCCATCTACTCTGTGACATATAGTACTTTGCTAATTGCAGAGAGCGTTTGATAGAGATATTTGGAAATTGAAATACTGACCATGCATGTGTACGTTTCCTCTGCTAACCATTATTGGAAGAGAGGCATGTAGTGTTTTGCATTGACAGTAAAAACGACTGTACCCTGCAAGCAAGTGTTTAGAATTTAAGTAAAACTTAGGGGAAGATCGCAAAAACAAAATGTTAGCCATATTTTGAACATAAGGAAAATGTGGAAAAACTATACAAGGTGACCAAATCAGTACTCAAGTGAAATATTACAGTTTAAAATATGTACTTTGGAAAAAATTAATACTATAAAATGAATAATAGCAGAAATTTTGTTTAAAAACAGAAATAAAATTTAGTCTCCTTTCCTAAATACACAAGAATTAAACATGAAGTGGTAAAAATCAATATGAAATTCACCAATAATGACCCATAAAGATGGTAAGCGAAATCTTCAATTACATGTTATTTCATTGGTATTACCTTCTGCTGAATACTGTTCCAAACCCTATCATGTATTGTTTCACTTAATCCTCAAAATATCCCTATGAGGGAGATGTTTTATCCACGCTGAGGCACAGAGAACCTAAACCATTCACTATCAGAATTAGTCTTACCCAAATAAATGTGTAAATATTTTACAATAAGGAAGCTTTTATTCCAGTAGAGATTAATTATATTTTAACTCACTGAAGTTCACTAAAAAAAAACAAGATAAAAAATACAGAAACTTACCTGATCATTATATGATTATTTCCTGTTATTATTTATAAGTGATTAAATAATAGTGTATCTAGTAAATATTGCAGATAAATTTGGTTGCCAAGAGTAAAACAAAGTTAAATCTTAACTTCAGAGTATTTATCAAAGTTAATTCTTGGTATAACATGATAAAAATAAAATTTTCTAAGTGCTTTATAAAAATAAAGCACTTCCAGGTGCAGAGAATATTTTTAAGCATAAAAGGAATAATTTATTATAATCCCATAATTTATAAGAAAAATGGGAACAGATTTATAGATATAAATGTTAAATATAATATATTTAGATACATGTTTAAAATTGTTAAATTCAGACTGTGAAAATATTGAAAGAAAAGTTGGTGAACAAAGGGTTTACAATTTACAGCATATATGAAAACTTTATCACACAGATAATAAGGCAAAAAGAAAGACGGGGAAAAAAGAGGAAGGATGGAAAGAAGAAAGAAAGAAAAGAAGAAAAATTAACAAAATAAGGAAAAAAGAAACACAAAATATTAAGTGGCGATCAGAAATCAGACAATTTAAATGGTCCATAATCTAAGAAAACATATGTACCTAATTAGTAACCCATGGCATGTAGGTTCAAATAAATGTAAATGATTATTTTTAGCTGACATTTGGGTTGTGGATTGGGAGCAGAGAAAATGGAAAAATACAATAAAAAAGAGAAAACGATGTCACTTGAATATTGCCAGTGAAAGTAACTATCGTTTTCTAAACTACCTTGGCTCACCGTTATAAAAATTATAAATTCTTAGTACCTTTGTTTCATAAATTCCACTTTGGGAGTCTATTTCAAAGAAACGAAAGCACCAGTACATGAATATGCACTCCATGGGAGGTCTGGAAATGCTGTCTGAGTTAGCAGGCTTGGCTCCTGTTGTTGGACAGGGTGTGAAAGGTTAATCCACTAAACGCATATCAGTTTTTGTCCAAAATTCCTATAATTGCACACTGAATAGCTGTAACAAACTGTGCAGATACCATTAGAATTTAATTAACTATATGCAAACTATCTCTGAGAATCTTAAAATTTTCTAAAAACCCATGTATGGAAAATAACAGATTATCAATTTTAACCTAAGGCACTATCAAAGCACATTAAGTAATTTCGAGTGGATGCGGATTGTGATCAAAATATTACTCTACAGAATCATTCTGAAACTTCAGGAAGGATATTGACTTCAACAACGAATCAGATGATTCTTTGTTCCTCCCCATGAAATACAAAAAGCTGTGTTTGTTGATGAGGTGAAATCGGGCTTATAACACCATGCTACAGTTTGGACTGCTTCGTTTTGTAATTGTGTTTTTTAGTCACCTTCCTTATCTGTCATAACAGCTATATTGCCCTTTAGCTACAATTCCCAATTGATAATCTTAAGTGTGCCAAATTATCTTGATGGCTCTTTTTGGTAAGTGTTTTAAGACGTATTTATAAATAATAGTTAAAAATTACTGGACACTTTTCATGGCTTGGGATAGTTGTGAACACTTTACGTATACTAATTTTAATTCTCTCAACAAACCTTTTAAATATTGCCATAGCATCATGTTTTAAGGAACAGAATAAACACACCACAGACAACTTCGGCCAGGTCATTCAGCTGCAAAGTGTTACAGTGGGATTTGAGTCTAGGCAATTTGCTCCCAGAACCCAAATACTTGACCTCTATTTTCATCTTTAGATACCTGTCAACACATAATTTAAAACTCATTACAATATATAATGCTATACATATCACTTAGAAATGTGAATTAATTATTCAAAGATATTGCCTGCTATCAAGGTTCTCAGTGCTGTTGATATTTCATGGTTTGTGTTGCTGCAGAAAAGAATTTGTAATCATATAATTCAAGTCCTATTTCTACCACCTAAGACTTGAGTGATGTTAAGCAAGATGCAAAAAAATCATGTTTTACTTTTTTACCCAAAGGTAAATGAAAAATATCTACACTATAGAATTCTTGTGAGGAGTAAATGAATAGACAAGAAATGCTTTCCAGAAAATATCACCACATAGAGATTTAAAGTAAAGTTATGAACATAATAGTTTTCATATACAATAATTATTGGGCATTTAGTATGGATTGGGAAGTTATCCTGTGGTTAGTATGTTTCATTGTTGTAATACATTTTTTTTTTTGACAATCAGTTTGAGCTTATAAGGTTGCTCAGGTTAGCCTTGAACTCATGACCTCGCCTTCGCAAGCGCCACGACCTCCGGCGGGAGCCACTTTGGACCCCTGTTGTAATACATTTATCATACCTAATGAACCAAAATTGAATATTATTATTAATTAACATCCATACTTGATTCAGGTTTCCTTGGATTTTACATAATGTACTTTTTCAGTTTCTGTATCCCATACAGGATACCACATCACGTTTAGTTGCCATGTATCTTGACTGTAATAATTTCTTAAACCTTCTTTATTTCTGAAGAACTTGACGGTTTGAGGAGTAGTAGTCAGGTGTTTTGTAGAATGCACCTCAATTAGAATTTGCTGACTTTGTCTCACAATCAGCCTGAGGCTAAGGAATTTGGGGAAGAAGACCAGAAGTAAAGAAGTAAAGTGTCACTCTCTTCACATTAAACCAAGAGTACATACACGCTGTCAACATGACTTAGCACTGTGGATGTTAAATCTGATCACCTGAGTGAGGCAGTATTTGTCAGGTGTGTCTACTATAAAATTACCCCATTTTCTGTCTTTCCATGTTATACTCTTAGAAAGGATGTCATCAGGTATAGCCCACACTTAAGAAGTGAAAATTTGTTTTCCATATTCCTAAGGGTAGAGTATCTAGACAAATTATTTGGAATTATTCTTTATAAACTATTTGTTTATTTTTTCTAACTTATATATTTATTTCATTATTGATTTATATAGGTATGAACTCGTGACTTTGTCATCAATACTACTTTATTTATTTCTTCTCAAAATTCTCCTGCTTTAGCCATTGGGAGACCTTCCAGGTGGCTCCTTTACTCTTTTGACATTCTTCAATCATTCGTCAGCCATAATGTTAAGCAATTTATCCATTTTCATTAAAAGATTAAGTATAACACTGTCATTCCATCGCTTGAACCTGGGAGGAGGAGGTTGCAGTGAGCTGAGACTGCGCCACTGTGCTCCAGCCTGGCGACAGAGCAAGACTCTGTCTCAAAAAATAACCAAAAAACAAACAACAACAACAACAAAAACTGTCATTCCTTGTTGGTGATAGTGGATTGTTTTGTTTTTCTCATTTTTTTTTCATTTTTAAAAGAACTTAACATTTTGTTTGTAGTCCAATAAATGGATTGTCAAATTATGTGCCAATACATGTATATATCTCTTCTAACATACACTTTGAATATAAAAACAATTATTTAAATTTAATGTTTGTAAAAATTTTCTGTGTAAAATTTCTGAATGATTTGAAAACAGCAAACAAAATATCTCAATTGAAAATATATACATGTGTTGTAGATACCAAACTACACACATACAATTTGTAATCATGTATCTTAAAGTTTTAACACTTACTCTAAAATCAGTTACCCAATTGGAAGTAAAACACTGCTCAGCAAATGCAAAAGAACTTGGACGATAGTGCAATCAAAAAAAGAAATCAAGACTAAGAAATTAGCTCAAAACCATACAATTACATGGAAATTGAATAACCTGTTACTGAATGACTTTTGGGTAAATAATGAAATTAAGACAGAAATCAAGTTTTTTGAAACAAAGGAGAACAAAGATAGAGTATACCAGAATCTTTGGGAAATCACTAAGGCAGTGTTAACAGGGAAGTTTATAGCATTAAATAGCAAAAATAGCATTAAATGCCCACATCAAAAAGTTAGAAAGATCTCAAGGTAACAACCCAACTCACAATTAAAAGAACTAAAGAACCAGAGCAAACAAACCCCAAAGCTAGCAGAAAACAAGAAATAACCAATATCAGAGCTGAACTTAAGGAGAAGAGACACAAAAAGCCATTTAAAAGACCAATGAATACAGGAGTTGGTATTTTGAGTAAATTAATAAAATAGATAGACCACTAGCTACATCAATAAAGAAGAAAAGAGAGAAGATTGAAATACACATAATGAGTAATCATGAGAGATATTACCATTGACCCCACGGAAATACAGCTATAAAGAATATTATGAATACTTCGATGCACATAAACTAGAAATTCTAGAAGAAATGGATAAATTCCTGGACACATACACCCTCCCAAGACTGAACCAGGAAGAAACTGAATCTCTGAAGAGACTAGCAGTGAGTTCTGCGACTGAGGCAGTAATAAATATCCCTCCAACCAAAATAAGCCCATGACCAGTTAGATTCATGGCTGAATTCTACCGGAGGTACAAATAAGAGCCGGTACCAAAACACTGAGGAGGAGAGACTCCTGCCTAACGCATTCTATGGGGCCAGCCTCATTCTGATACCAAAACCTGACATAGGTACAACAAAAAAAGGCAATGTCAGGCCAATATCTCTGGTAAACATTGAAGCAAAAATCCTCAACAAAACACGGACAAATTGAATCCATTAGCACATCAAAAAGCTTATCCAACACAATCAAGTAGGCTTCATTCCCTGAATGCAAGTTTGGTTCAACATTGATTTTCGGGGCATATCAATAAATCTGATTCATCACATAAACAGAACTAAAGACAAAGACCACAGATGCAGAAAAGACTTTTGATAAAATTTAACAAACCTTCATGTTAAAAACTCTCAAACTAGGCTTTGAAGGAATATACATCAAAATAATAAGGTCCACCTTTGACAAACCCACAGTGAACATTACAGGCAAAAGCTGGAAGCATTGCCCTTGAAAACCAGTACATGATTAGGATGCCTTCTCTCATGATTCCTATTCAACATAGTATTAAAAATTCTAGCCCAGACAATCTGGCAAGTGAAAGAAATAAAGTTCATTCACATAAGAAGAGAGGAAGTCAAACTATCCATATTTGCAAATGACATGATACCTAGAAAGCCTCATAATCTTAGTCCCAAAGCTTCTTAGGCTCATAAACAACTTCAGCAAAGTCTCGGGATACAAAATCAATGTGCAAAAATCACTAGCATGTCTATATATCAACAATAGTCAACCCAAGAGCCAAATCAGGAATGAACCCCCATTCACAATTGGCACAAAAAGAATAACATACCTAGGAATACCGCTAACTATGGAGGCGAAAAGCCTCTACAAAGAGAACTACAAACCACTGCTCAAAGAAATCAGAGATGACACAAGGAAATGGAAAAGCATTACATGCTCATGGATAGGAAGAATCAGTACTGTGAAAAAGGCCGTAATGCCTAAAGAGATTTATACATTCAATGCTGTTATCATTAAACTACCATTTACATTGTTCACAGAACTAGAAAAAAAATTTTTAATTCAAATGTAATTAAAAGCCCAAATAGCCAAGGCAATCCTAAGCAAAAAAACAAAGCTGAAGGCATCAAACTACCTGACTTCAAACTATACTACAGGGCGGCAGTAACCAAAACAGCATAGTACTGGAACAAGAACGGACCCATAGAACAATGGAAAGGAATAGAGAACCCAGAAATAAAACTGAACACCTACAACTATCTGATCTTTGACAAACTTGACAAAAACAACCAATAGGGAAAGGATTTCCTATTCAAAAAATGGTGCTGGCATAACTGGCTAGTCATATGCAGAAGATTAAAACAGGACTCCTTCCTTACACCATATACAAAAATTAACTCAAGATGGATTAAAAACTTAAATGTAAAACCCCAAAGTACAAAAACTCTGGAAGATAACCTAGGCAATACCATTTAGGATACAGCAATAGACAAAGATTTCCTAGCATATTTCTTCTAAGTCATTTTGATTGAAATGAAAATGAAGCTTTTAGGGTAAGTGAAAACAAGAAAAGTATGAGGAAAAAAAGTAAAATTTATCTGTACTAAAATGAAATCCCAAATGCCTCAATTTTAACTCAGTAATGACTTATCCAAAGTGAAAACTACTTCAAATACCTTTAAAATAGTGTACTAGTACAGACATATTTTTTAATAAGAAGACAGGCAAGGAAGCACTTTGTGGGAATTATTTAAATGATACATATGCTTCTGATGCATTTAAGAATAAATATTCATCTCCCCAAAAAAAGAATATCATGCATAACTATCTTCCTATCCATGATATAATTATGTAAACTGTGAATTACAAGTTAAGCAACCTTATTTTAATCATTTTAATTGTATTTGATTTTTATATTTACAATTTAATATTGACCTATTTTATAAAGTTACTTACATGTAAAATTTATTTGCCCAGATATTTAATGTTCTACCACTACAGCAGTAGCTATTAGTTTCTTGGGGTAATTCCGTGGTTGATTCATTTTACTTTTGCAGCTGAAAAAACCTCACGCTGAGCAGAGAGGCATCTAATTTGCTCATTGTCCCTGCTGAAGGCTTTTTTTCTCTATTAGCTCCGACTTTTATTACCTAAAAAAAAAAGTGGTAACATTTTACAGTTAATAACACAAAAGAAGAGAAAACCTGGAAATAATATATATGACTATGAAATTCATTTTAAACCCTGATTTTAAAAATTCATTCAGCTCTAGAATGGATAGATTTGCTTGATCAATTATTAACAATCTGTAGTGGGCAGAAAGCACTGAGCCTCTGGTATAGAAGGAATATTCAACATACTTATTAGCAGCAATGTTTAAAGAAGAAGGAAAATTAAACTTCAATGATATCTTCATGCTTTCAATTTTTATTACACAAAATATGCATCAATTTTTATTTCAGTCAAATTCAAGATTTGCAGCTATATTATTTATCATCATGTGAAACGTTGAGAAAGATGAATTCCTAACAGCTAAGGACATACCTCTATGAAATGCTTCCCTCACTTGCTATCTAAAATATGTTTCCTATTTCTACATCAATTACCATATCCGTATTATTTCTTCGCCTAAGTTTAATTGAGAGCAAACAGTGAAATAAAGGAATAGCAAAATCCAGATAAGTAGGAAAGGATTCCAGTCTACTGGCAAGGAATCAACACTGTCCGTCGATAATAATGTAATCATTTTTTCTTTCCGTGCATCTTATACATGAATGTTATTTAATCTAATCTTTTGAAAATGATTTCCCCTAAAGAGACCAAATTAATACTGCATAATTATGTAGAGTTCAAAGAGCCATTGAAAGTTGAAATAGAAAGGAGTTACGTGGTAGAGGAAAACAAGTAAATTAAATTTAACTTGCATTTTAATTTGTCATTAACTACTGGAAACACCTGGAGCAAATCAAATTAATGCTTTTGTGTCTGAATTATGTAATTTTAAAGTCTATGTAGCCTGTATGAAAGAGTTCTATTTTAGTTTTTTTATACTTATCAAATAATCTTTAGATATCCTACCCCATCAAATGTTTTTGATTTTATGTGTTATGTAAGTTGGATACTGTGAAAATAAGCCAGTGATCAAATTCCATACTTAATGATATAAGCATTCTATTCATTTTTAATAACATATTGTATAAACATACAGTCTGCATCAATCAGTATTTATGTCAGTAACTACATTTTAAAAACTCTTTACATATATCTTTATACCATTGAACAGGGATTTTTGAAGTATAAATTTCTAAAAAGAAGAAATGGTAGTTAAAATTATTTGTAATTCTGAATTTTAAATATATTATTAAAATATATTAGCAAAGGTTCTTACCAATTTGCATACAATCATTTAGAGTGAAAAGAAAGTTTTGTTATATGTTTTCATATTACTTATTTACCAATCTAACAGGGGTACATTTTTAAAATCATCTGCTTTTGGCCATGATATATTTGCTTGTAGAAGATTCATACCCCTCTGTAAACATCTTAAAAAGTAGAAAATAAAGATAAAAGTGCATTAAAAGTATCAAACAAAAAGTTATTTGAGTACATTAAAGAACTATTTAGTGAACAAGGACTTTAGGGATCAGAATCCTGAAGAAACCATGAGAGCAGAGAAAGCCATGACGCTTTCTGGAGGAAAGTAATCTCATTTGCAGCCCCCCACGATTTCTCAAATACCAGCTATACAGTACAAATGACAACTATCAAATTGTTGATGTCTCTTAAAAAATTACAAGGTAGGGTAATAAACCCGACCAAACAAGGGAAATCTACCAGAAAGAAAACAAAACAAAACAAAAAGCAAACTGACATTAGAAAAGGACCCATGGATATTTTGGTTTCGGCTCTGTTATCAGACAAGGTCTTAAAATACTAGTGCTGTTCATATACACCATGGAATATTATGCAGCAATCAAAAATGATAAGTTCGTATTCTTTGTAGGGACATGGATGAACCTGGAGAACATCATTCTCAGCAAACTGACACAAGAACAGAAAATGAAATACCACATGTTCTCACTCATCGGTGGGTGTTGAACAATGAGAACACATGGACACAGGGAGGGGAGCACTACACACTGGGGTCTGTTGAGGGGAAATAGGGGAGGGACAGCGGGGGGGTGGGGAGTTGGGGAGAGATAGCATGGGGAGAAATGCCAGATATAGGTGAAGGGGAGGAAGGCAGCAAATCACACTGCCATGTGTGTACCTATGCAACTATCTTGCATGTTCTTCACATGTACCCCAAAACCTAAAATGCAATAAAAAAATACTAGTGCTGTTATCTTCAATAGGAATGAGAAGACTAGTAAGGTGGAAGACAAGGTGAAGATGAAATCTCTAAAATAAGTATTCAAAACAATGATAAAAAAGAAAGAATAAAAAGCAAGGAATTTAAGTAGAAATGGAGAGAATTAATACAAATAAATAGCAATATTTGCAGAGTCAATGCCTGAGAATTTAAAAAATAGATATAGGCAACAAATCACATACGCAAAAGCTTTGCAAATATGAGCAGTGGGCATACAAATAAAGCTACATGAAAGTGTTTCACACTATGATTGCTGAAAAAACAAAAAGAAATACTTAAAAAGCAATGTAATATTAGAAAGCATATTTATGTATTTTTAAACCATAAAAACAGTAACAGTGACACCTGAATTTTTAAAGAATGGAAGCCAGAAGACAATGATGGACGTTTTAAAAGGATGAAAGAAAATGGCTGTTAAACTATAAATATATATCAGCGAATATATCCATAAAAATAAATACCTGGCCGGGCACGGTGGCTCAAGCCTGTAATCCCAGCACTTTGGGAGGCTGAAGTGGGTAAATCATGAGGTCAAGACATCGAGACCATCTGGTCAACATGGTGAAACCCCATCTCTACTAAAAATACAAAAAGTAGCTGCGCGTGGTGGTGCGTGCCTGTAATCCCAGCTACTCAGGAAGCTGAGGCAGGAGAATTTCCTGAACCCAGGAGGCAGAGGTTTTGGTGAGCCGAGATTGCAGCATTGCCCTCCAGCCTGGGTAACAAGAGTGAAACTCCGTCTCAAAAATGATTAATTAATTAATTAATTAAAAATAAATCAATAAATTGGTGCTGTGTAAAATAAACACTATAATTTTTTCTTTTTACTTTTGTCACTTAAAAGTTTTTAACCATGTGCCTAAAACCTGATTTAAGAATTAACTTACCCATTGGATATTTATGCATTTAAGTGAATGGTACAAACACATTCACCCAAGTCCTATATCTTGTAAGCTACAGGCTTCACAATTTGGCATGAATAAAAATAAACAGTTTCTCTGCTTACTTTTAGAATTTATAAATAAGTCTTTGAATATGTTAAATAAAATTGCTGTTAAAATTACTGTGAATAATAGCAACTCATACTCCTAAGTCAGATGTATTTTTGTTAAATCTGTATGTCTTAATTATTTTGACATCTAGTGGTATTTTATGCAGTAGGCTAGAAAAAATTTTTAAATCAGTACTTTGTCCATTAATTTAGTCCTTTTTTTAAAGCCATAAAATTATTGACTTACTGTTAGGTAACTCAGTCTGACAAGTACAAAGAGACTGTAAACTATCGAACCTTGACAAATATCTAGGAAAAAATGCTGAATAAAGATGTCAAAAGGTTTCCTGAAAATGATTTTTCATTTATAGTCAGGGGAAACATACATTTTGTACTTTCCATTTTCTGTTTTTTTTTTTTCCAGGGATAAAATATTAAGTGTTAGCAGTGTAAACGCTATTCTTAGAGAGCTGGAGCTAAAATGACCCAAATGGTTTAGAGCTTCAAATACTTCAGGGTATGCTTAAAAGAGAATTGTTTGGAGTAGCTTTCTTCTCTGCTGTAAAACAGTATTATTATGTACTTGAAAAGTTATCCAAAATGACAAATAATTTTGAGAAGAAAAATTTCAATGGGATTAAAAAACTAAAAATAGCAAATAACTCCTCTACCATAAAATTAACATGAATGATTATATCGATTAGTACATTCACAATTTCATGTCTGAAATGAAGTCATGGGGCCCTCCAGCATAAGCACTGAGCTATAGACTGGTGATAGAATATTAATATCATTGACACATCTCTGGACTCATACAAATTACAGCATAATATGAGAAGCAGAAAAATAACTATGCAAACATGGAGCGAGTTTCTAACACTAAATTAGCCATAAGGAAGGATTAAGAATTTCAGGTAGAAGAAACTAGGTCAATCCTCAAGGCCTGGACATGTTAAGGACTTAGTTGTATAATCTGTGTGGAAAATAGAGGATGAACAGTGAGAAAGGACCAGAGCTGGTGAAAAGGTAGTCCTGAAGGCCCTAGTATTTCATGCAACAAAACTTGGGTTTTTTTTTTTTTTTTTTTTTTTCTTCAGAATAACAGGAAACTACTGAAGAGTTTAACCATTGCTAGCTTTTGATGATTTTATATTTCAGGCAGGTACCATAGTAGCATTTGAGGGACAGATTAAAACCTGGCAGGGCAAAGGGACAAGGAAATCTGCTTGGCTGAAACTAGAATTAGAACATATGATAGTAGATAGATTTAATGGGGATGGAGAGAGGAGAATGAATATGGGAAACTTAAAAGAATGGTGGTGATTTTATAATTAATTTCATTATTTTGTTAATGCAAACTGACTCTGCAGTGAAAACTGTTGAGAATAGAGGCTGATCTGTCTTTGTTCCTTATGTATCCCATAACCCTAGAAGAGTGCTGAGTTCATAACTAATCAATGAGTCTATTTTTTAAGCTGGTGACATTCATACTTTTCAAAATAATTTCCATTTTATTTGAGATTTGAGGAGTATATGTGCAGATTTGTTCCATTACTGCATTGCACGATGCTGAGATTTGGAATACCAATGGCCCTGTCCCCCAGGTAGTGAGCGCGGTACCCAAAAGTTAGTTTTTCAACCCTGGACCCCTTCCCTTTTTCCCCCTCTCACAGTCTCCAGTGTTTGAATGATTGATAGTTATATTGAACTTATAATGTGTACTAACAAATAAACTAATTTATTAAGACAAATTAACATTAATCATCTTCATACTCTTTTAATAAAAAGGCTTGATTGTATCATTTAGGGTGGACTTGAAATTTTTAGTTAAATTTTTCAGCTATGAATTTTGAGGAAATTCATTAGTCTGTGTTCTCAATAAAAATATACCATGTATTATCCATTCAAGTCTATGCATTAGAAGAATTCTATGATACAATATGAGTATTTAATCTGGGCTTGAAAAAGCAGACACTTATTGTTCACATTCTTGAAATTCTAATTAATACTCATGATTTTATTAAAAATACTGTAAAATATCTACTCTAGGAAAAATTATGTTACTATTTTTCAGTAACAATTTAGTGAAAATATTTATTACTTAGTTTGTATTAAACTCTAATCTTACACCTCAGATTTTCAGGGCATATTAGCAATGCTATAGCCACAGTGATTGCTGTTAAATGAAATGGATGATATTGAAACATCTTAGTTCACCAATGACCACTATTAGCATTGGCAATGAAACTCACATGTATAATGTATCTTCTTCTGTCATAGACACTGGCCTGTATTCACATCTTACCATGTGAAATGGAAAAATAATGATAACATTTCTTAAAGCCAAGCAACAATAACCTTTTGTTAGGGAGCTGAAGCCCTAGATATCAAAGTCCAAAATCTCAAGTTATATTAGAAATCTATGAATAAGGTATTCTTTAGAAAAATATCTTTTCTTGTGCCTCATCTCCTTTTATTTTAAATCTGGTTTATCAAAACATGTTGGATGAATGTTAAATGAAGAAATTATACCTGTGCTGTCAAACATACTGAATTTGAATGTTTAACATTATTGCTAACTTTTAGTTTTATTAGCTGTTAAATTAATCTATATATGTATATACACACATACATATTAGTACATTCAAGCAAACCTCAGAGATACTGTGCATTTAGTTCCAGAAAACCACAGTGAAGCAAGGATTACAAAAAAAGTGAGACTCATGTTTGTAAATTTCTTATTATATCTAATAGTTACATTTGCACTATACTGTACTTTATTATATATAAAAATGTGCAAGAGAATTATGTTTAAAACCAAAGTACATACCTTAATTTAAAAATACTTTATTACCACAAATTCCCAGATCCTTGAAGCATCCAACAAGTCATAGTCTTTCTGCTGGTGGAGGGTCTCTGTTGATGGCTTTGACTAATCAGGGTCAGATTGATGAAAGTATTGGTGGCTGTGGAAAATCCTTAAAATACGGCAACAGGTTTGATACTCAGAATGATTCTCTCTTCCAGGAAAGATTTCTAGGTAGTAATGCAATGGTGTCTGATAGCATTTTACCCACTATATAGAACTTTTTTCAAAATTGTGAGTCAATCCCTCAGACTCTGCTGCTGCTTTATCAACTAAGTTTTTGCAATATTGTAAATTCATTTGTCATTTCAATGATGTTCACAGATTCTTCACCAGGAATAGAGTCCACTTTTAGATTTTTCTTTTTTTCTCTATCTCTCATCAATAGAAACAACTCCTCATTCATCCAAATTTTATCATCAGATTTCAGAAATTTAGTCACACTCCTAATTCTAATTATTTTGCTGTTTCCACCACATCTTCAGTTACTTCCTCCACTGAAGTCTTGAACTCCTCAAATTCATCCATGAGATTTGGAATCAATTTCTTTTCTTTCTTTCTTTCTTTTTTTATGAGCAAGTAGCATAACTTCTCTACCTTTTTTTTTTTTTTTTTTTTTTTTTTTGAGAAACCTAGTGATTTAACAAGTGTCCCTCCCAAGTAACATCAGGACAGGTGATTAGAAAGAAGGTTGAGGTTTTATTGATGATCATCCATATAGATTGCAGACAGGAAATAGGCTAGAACTTTGTAGACTTAGAGAGTTCACTTCAGATGCCCAGAGACTTGGCAGTCACAGGGCTGCGGGGAACCATGCCTGTTACCCTGCTCAGAACAGTTCAGTAGCATCCTGGGCAAATATTGCCACAGGATAGATTCCCTGGGAAGTAGACTCTGAGATGCAGATTAGCATCTTTATTAGAACTTTATTAGAGAGTGTTCTTAGAGCACCTGAGGAAGAGAAGGAAGCAAAACAGGGCAGAGGGAGAAGTTGGGATATTCCCAATAGAGGCCTCTGCTTACCCTGTGAGAGGTTCTGAAGCTGGAATAATCCTTTAGAGCTATCTAAATAATTAGGCTGGGTGTGGTGGCTCATGCCTGTAATTTCAGCACTTTGGAAGGCTGAGGCAGGAGGATTGCCTAAGCCCAGGAATTCAAGACCAGCCTGGGCAACAGGATGAGATCCCATGATGTAGTTTGGATGTGTCCCTACCCAGATCTCATCTTGAATTGTAGCTCCCATAATTCCCATGTGTCATGGAAAGGAGTCGGTGGGAGGTAATTGAATGATGGGGGTAGGTCTTTCCTGTGCTGTTCTCATCAAAGTAAGTCTCACAAGATCTGCTGGTTTTATAAAGGGCAGTTCCCGTGCAGGCACTCTCTCTTGCCTGAAGTAAGGTTTGTCAGTAGAGGGACCACAGGGACACTATCAGAAGAAGGGGCATTTCTTTGGGGTTCTTGTACTTTTCTTCCTGCTCCTATGGAACAGTGGCCGCTGGGCAGCTCCCTGTGGAGACGTGCTGGTGCACACCTCCTGGCGAGTTTGGCTGGCACCCCAGCACGTGCTTCCAGAGAGTTTCACCAGCATTCTAGTGGGAATGAAGCACCTCAGTGAAATTCTTCACCATCCAGTGGGCCACGGCCATATCTCAAATGCAGTCTGAAGCTCATCGTGAGAGGCTGTCCTCTTTCAAGTGGGTTCCTTCCTTGAGTACCCTCCTCAGCCTTGACGATAGTAGCTGCTCCCTACATCTGCTATTCCAATGTTCTTTAGAGAGCGCTTTACCCCACTTACTAGTTCATCTCTTTTACTAGGACACAGGCACACGAATGTTCATTGCAGCACTGTTTACAATAGCAAAGACCTGGAATCAACCCAAATGCCCATTGATGACAGACTGGATTGGGAAAATGTGGCACATATACACCATGGAATATTATGCAGCAATCAGAAATGATGAGTTTGTGTCGTTTGTAGGGACATGGATGAATCTGGAGAACATCATTCTCAGCAAACTGACACAAGAACAGAAAATGAAACACCGCATATTCTCACTCATAGGCGGGTGATGAAAAAACGAGAACACATGGACCCAGGGAGGGGAGTATTAAACACTGGGGTCTATTGGGGGGAAAAGGGAAGGGCCAGTGGGAGGGGGAGGTGGGGAGGGATAGCCTGGGGAGAAATGCCAAATGTGGGTGAAGGGAAGAAAGGAAGCAAAACACACTGCCATGTGTGTACCTGTGCAACTGTCTTGCATGTTCTGCACATGTACCCCAAAACCTAAAATGCAAGAGAAAATTTTAAAAAAAAAACAATTCTTTCCATTAAAATGTTCCCCCTGTTCAAAGGATTGGTGTGATTTCTGTCTCCTGACTGGACCCTGACTAATGTCATCATAGACAATAAATGGTTAATGGATGGGCTGGGCACGGTGGCTCACACCTGTAATCCCAGCACTTTGGAAGGCTGAGGAGGGCGGATCACTTGAGGTCAGGAGTTTGAGACCAGCCTGAGCAATCTGGCAAAACCCTGTTTCTACTAAAAATATAAAAGTCAGCGGGGTGTGGTGGTGTTCGCCTGTAGTCCTAGCTACTCAGGAGGCTGAGGCAGGAGAATCACTGAACCGGGAAGCGGAGGTTGCAGTGAGCTGAGATTGTGCCACTGCCCTCCAGCCTGGGTGACAGAGTGAAGTTTTTGGGAGTTATACGTTTTTAAGCAGTCTGTAAAACCAATCTCTTTTTCACCTCAATTAAATATGTTAGATTCCAGTGGCACCGAAGATACGGAAACACATTTCCCTCTCATTTGCTCTCTCTGAATAACCATCATATGGATTTACTACTTTGTCCTGTATTAGCAGAAACAATCCAGCCAGTCTTTTTTAGTTTTTTATGAAGACTAACGGCCCGATGGCCAGTAACTGTTCCACCCGTCGTCGTTCGCAACTTTGCTCACCTCCCAGGCCTGTTAAGGCCTTTGTCCGTTGGGGGCAGAGTTGGTCTCGCCCAATGGGGACAGAGTGGTCACTGGAGACCCGGATCTGCACGGCTCCGTGGCCTAAAGAGGCAGCCGAACCTCCCTGCGTCCTTAGGCCGCCTTCCCAAGCCCTCTACCACCTAACGGCCTCCGCTGCGCAGCATTCGAGCGGCCGCCGTGTTGTGTTTCCTGGTCCTCCCAAAGGCGTTGCATCCCGGCAGCTCAGCTGGGGCTCTGTCGAGGCCGGGCACGCTTGGGCTGGGAGACCCAGTGGCCAGCAGGGTCCAGGCTGGGGTGCTGGCTGGGAGAAGCCACCGCCGCCATCAATCACCAAAGGGGCGTGGGGTACAGAGGTTCACCACGGCTTCAAGGCCTGATCCTGGCCAGGCCAACGCGCAGCCACAGCGGAGGCCTCCAGTGTCTGAAGGGCAGAGGGCGCGGCCTGTCCTGGGGCCCCCCAGCTCACCGGCCAGCCCAGGGCTGGAGGGCCTGGAGGGCCCAGTGGGACCTCTCGGCGCTCTGCGTCTCTCTGCGCTCTCTGCCGGACAGGAACTCTGTTTTTTTAATTTTTAATTTTAGCAAGCAGCCCACTGAACATGGCACTAAACCTCTCTCCTTCCCAGGCAGGATTACTCTGAAACGCAGGTGCGCTTTTCATTCATCCTCTCTTAGCAAGTGGTGGCTGTTCGGTGCTGGAATTAAGTTTGAATCCCTCTTTCATACACCAGCAAGACCTGGCCTGAATAGAGCTGAGAAACACAGGTAAAAGTGGGCTGGGGCAAGGGGGACTCTGTGGGAGGAGGATGTGAGAAGCACAGAGGGCCCAGGAAGGCATAGCGGGTGAGGGAGCAGCTGGTGTTTCTGTCCCTCTAAATATCTGGGCTTCCTGCTACCCCAACCCTGGAGGGTGGGGTGGGGGGTGAAACTGGAGGGTGGGGTGGGGGGTGAAACTAGAGGCAAGGGACTCTGGGGCCCTCTGGCTGTTCAGCCCAACCCTGCCACCCACCCACCAAATGAAAGAAAGAAAAGAAAGAAAGAAAGAAAGAAAGAAAGAAAGAAAGAAAGAAAGAAAGAAAGAAAGAAAGAAAGAAGGAAGGAAGGAAGGAAGGAAGGAAGGAAGGAAGGAAGGAAGGAAGGAAGGAAGGAAGGAAGGAAGGAAGGAGGCAGGGAGGGAGGGAGGGAGGGAGGGAGGGAGGGAGGGAGGGACACAGCACACCCCTAAAACTCAGAAAACTCGTTGGCACACTTCTCGTTGATGGAGATCTGGATCTCTTCCTCCTCCTAGTTGTCAAAGTTACTGGCATCCCGAGGGCCTGCAAACTTCGGGATGAAGAAAGCTTCCACCACCTTCTTCTCAAAGATGGCGATCCAATTGGTTTTGGCGAAACATTTGTGGTCCTGATGTCACCGACCCCATTCCGGAGGTTCCCGAAGTGCTTGATGAGGTCCACCTGCAGCAGGCTCCACAGCAGGTCCTTGAGGTCAGAGCTGACATGGGAGGGGAACCGCACCTTCCCAGAGACGATCTCATATCTGAATCCGCTGGTCGTCATAGAAGGGTGGGCAACCCATAGCCATCTCGTAGGTGAGCACCCCCAGGGCCCACCAGTCCACGGCCTTGTAGCCTTTGCTCAGGATGATCTCGGGGGGCCAGGTACTCGGGGGTCCCGCACAGGGTCCAAGTGCGGCCCCTCACGTGCTTGGCGAAACCGAAGTCAGTCACCTGCAGGTAGCCCTGCTGGTCGATAAGGAGGTTCTTGGGCTTCAGGTCGTGGTGGATGATGTCGAGCTAGTGCCAGGTACTGGAAGGCCAGGGCGATCTGGGCAGCATAGAAACAGGCATGGGGCTCTCTGAACCTTCCGACGCGCCTTAGGTGGGAGAACATATCCCCACCCGGCAGGTACTCCATCACCAGGTACTGGAAGGCCAGGGCGATCTGGTCAGCATAGAAACAGGCATGGGGCTCTCTGAACCTTCCGACGCGCCTTAGGTGGGAGAACATATCCCCACCCGGCAGGTACTCCATCACCAGGTACAGTCTGGAGTTGTCCCTGAAGGAGAACCGGAGCTTGACGAGAAAGAGAAGTCTGTCTCCTGCAGGATGTGCTTCTCGTTCAGGACATGCTCGACCTGCTTCAGCTTCACCACCTACTGCTTATTATTATCTTCATGGTATTGTGGCCGCAGTTCTCCTGGTGCCTCACCAGCACCACCCACCCGAAGAAGCTGGTGCCCAGCGTCTTCAGCAGTTCAAACTGATCTGGGCTGGCGGTGTTCTGAATGGGGTGTTCCCAGCTATAGAAAAAATCTTCTTTCCCTCTTGTGTAGCAGTTTTTTTCTCTCTCTCTCTCTCTTTTTTTTTTTGAAAGAAAGAAAGGAAATAAGAAAGAAAAGAGAAAGAGAGAGAGAGAACCGGAGTCTTGCTCTATTGCCCAGGCTGGAATGCAGTCTAAAAATTGGTATTCAAAACCTCTTTTATGCCTGTAATTGTGGTTAACAATGGAGACAAGAAGGAGTAAGGGAGGAAGATAACAAACAGGCAGCCAACCAATATTTCATTTAAACCTGTGAAATACCATATATTTGCTGAGGAGTGATTTACTTCCACTTATGTGGTCACTTATAGAGTAGGTGTGATGTGGTGCTGAGAAGAATGTATATTCTGTGGATTTGGGGTGGTGAGTTCTGTAAATGTCTATCAGGTTTGCTTGTTCCAGGTCTGAGTTCAAGTCCTGGATATCCTTGTTAATTTTCTGTCTCATTGATCTGTCTAATATTGCCAATGAGGTGTTAAAGTCTCCCACTATTATTGTGTGTGAGTCTAAGTCTCTTTGTAAGTCATTAAGAACCTGCCTTATGTATCTGGGTGCTCCTGTATTGGGTGCATATATATTTAGGATCATTAGCTCTTCTTGTTGTGTTGATCCTTCTACCATTATGTAATTTCCTTCTTTGTCTCTTTTGATCTTTGTTGCTTTAAAGTCTATTTTATCAAAGATGAGAATTGCAGCTCCTGCTTTTTTTTTTTTTACTCTCCATTTGGTTGGTAAATCTTCCTCCATCCCTTTATTTTGAGCCTTTGTGTATCCTTGCATGTGAGATGGGTCTGGATACAGCACACTGATGGGCTTTGGCTTTTTATCCAATTGGCTTGTCCATGTCTTTTGACTGGGGCACTTAGTCAATTTAAATTTAGGGTTAATATTGATATGTGTGAATTTAATACTGCCATTTAATGCTAGCTGGCTGTTTTGCCCGTTAGTTGATGCAGATTCATTATGTTGATGCTCTTTACCTTTTGGTATGTTTTTAGAATGGCTGATACTTGTTGTTCCTTTCTATGTGTAATGCTTCTTTCAGAAGCTCTTGTAAAGCAGGCCTGATGGTGATGAAATCTCTGAGTACTTGCATGTTCACAAAAGATTTTATTTTTCCTTCGCTTATGAAGCTTAGTTTGGCTGGATATGAAATTCTGGGTTGAAAGTTCTTTTCTTTAAGGATGTTGAATATTGGCCCCCACTCTCTTCTGGCTTGTAGGGTTTCTGCAGAGAGATCTGCTGTGAGCCTGATGAGCTTCCCTTTGTGAGTAACCTGACCTTTCTCTTTGGCTGCACTTAACATTTTCTCCTTCATTTCAACCCTGGTAAATCTGATGATTATGTGTCTTGGGGTTGCTCTTCTTGAGGAGTATCTTTGTGGTGTTCTCTTTATTACTTGGAGTTGAATATTGGTCTGCCTTGCTAGGTTGGGAAAGTTTTCCTGGATAATATCCTGAAGAGTATTTTCCATCTTGGACTCATTCTCTTCATCACATCCAGGTACACCTATCAAACATAGATTAGATCTTTTCACATAGTCCCATATTTCTTGGAGACTTTGCTCATTCCTTTCTACCATTTTTTCTCTAATCTTGTCTTCTCGTTTTATTTCATTGAGTTTGTCTTTGACCTCTGATATCCTTTCTTCTGGTTGGTCAATTCATCTGTTAAAACTTGTGCATACTTCACGAAGTTCTCATGTTGTGTTTTTCAGCTCCATCAATTCACTTATATTCCTCTCTAAATTGTCTATTCTCGTTAGCATTTTGTCAAATCTTTTTTCAAGGTTCTTAGTTTCTTTGCATTGGGTTAAAACATGTTCTTTTAGCTCACAGAAATTTCTCATTACCCACCTTCTGAAGCCTGATTCTGACAATTCATCACACTCATTCTCCATCAGGCCTTGTTCCCTTGCTGGTGAGGAGTTGTGGTCCCTTGCAGAAGGAGAGGCATTCTGAATTCGGGTATTTTCAGCCTTTTTGCACTGGTTTCTTCCCATCTTTGTGGATTTATCCATCTGTCATCTTTGTAGTTGCTGACTTTCACATTGGGTCTCTGAGTGGACATCCAGTTGTTAGTGATGAAGTTATTTCTGTTTGTTAGTTTTCCTTTGGTGGACACTCCTCCCCCACAGAGCTGGACCTTCCCGGGTTCAGCTGTGCTTGCTTCTGGAATGAATTTCTTACAAATGCCTGTTAAAGTTGATATTTTGACCTCCTCTCATAAATCATGAATGTTCTTGATGGCATCAACAGTGGTGAATCCTTTCCAGAAGGCTTCTAAATTACTTTGCCCAGACCCCTCTGAGTCTTCTCATTGACTTAAAGCCATATATTAGCAAATAGTACCCAGACATATATATAATAACATTGTTTTTCAGTTTTTTAAAAAATGCCTTTGCTAAGCTCACCCATCATCACCAACAGTCTGAATGAACATTGAAAGATTTCCCTAGACCATTATTCCAAGTAATTTTACAAGGAAATGATGGTTATAATATGCTAAAATATTATGAGATTGGTATTACTCATTTAAATCCCCAGGAAATACCAAATAGCCGATATCCTTAAGATGAAGAATAAGCGACTGAGTCTTTTCTTTGAGTGTTCATTTCCTGTTTTTTGAGAGAATAAATGTTCTTCCCTGAATCCCTGAACTCATGAAACTTGCAAAGTTTGAAAACTATGTACATAAAGACTTCAAAGGCTTAAAAAGCTTTCAGAGAAACATTTCAAACCAGCAGTAATTCCACATCTTCCAGATTATTTTGCATGAAGTAAATGGTATTAAAGTAGGAGAATGTTATTCTAGAGACAGAGATATATGATCCTCAAGTCATCCCTGGACATTCAAAATGCTCCAACCAATTTTGTGTTTGGAAGATGGAGCAAGCATTGTTTTCTCAGATTGAATCTATTTCACATTGGTGAGCTGAAGAAAGGAGCAAAAGTCCACTTGAAAGGTCTATTCTGCACATTCGTCATATGTTCTCATAAACTTGTGTCATTTTAAAGGCGATGCGTTTTTGTTCTTTAACAAGAGAATTTAAAATGCTTTATGACAGGCACTGAATGTAAGGATGTCAAACACCACAGATGTAAAAAATGTACATTGTAAAAATAAGTGGGCACAAAAATTAAAACATATACATGCAATGATTTTCTGTCATTAAAAAAAGTTGTATTTACTCAGTATTCTTTCCTGTTTACTAAGATCTTAGATTACAAGTTTC